TATAGCCAGCTTGCCGGAAGGCTGGCTGGGCTTCTGGAGCGCGCGTGCCCCTTCCGGTGGTGGCACGATGGTTTGGCCAGGTCTGTCCTAAGAAATGTCCGGGCATGTTCTTTGGGTGGAGGGCAAAGGGTGAAATCTGAAATGCCATTTCGATGGATGTTCAAGGCTTGAATATGCAAAAGGTGAATCACAAGACGGATCGATCTTCGAGGTGCAACAGCCCATATGGATTTCACACTGAGCCCTCCACCCTAAGAAGATTCTCAGAATTTCTGGGAAGCTGGCCCAGGTTTCTTAAGTGATGATTTGTTGGATCAGATTTTCGGCTGTGCGTTTGAGTCGGGCGTGTCCCTATTCAGAAATTGTCAAAAATGCTCTGGGGACGATGTCTCGACCCTTTTTGCCTACGTGTTTGTGTATTTCTGGACTCTTTCTCATGATTCGTTCAGAATCCGCCTGCAGGAGGACACGCCCGGACTAAGAGTATGTCGAGCCGGTCGATCTGGTCCGAGGCCGATGTTGGCCGGCCCGATCCGTTGCGATGCCGACAATACCCGTCGATGCAGGGCGGCCAGGTGCCGTCGTGCCGCCCGCCTTTTGTCCTGGGCGCAGCCGATACGATGCGATCTCGACGCCAGGCCGCTGCGGCCCGATCCGCCGCACCTTCGTATTCGAGATTCGACCTTCAAGCAGTGGCGAAGCGTCCTAGCTCGCCGATGGCCTACCAAAGAATGTTCTAAGAACCTTCTGTGGTCTGCAAGAACTGTTCCCAGAGCATGTCTGGCCGAGCCTGTCTTGTTTTAACGCATCGGGCTTATGTTATGAGAACATGGCTTTTGTTATTCGAACATGTTGGGGTTCTGAGAATATGTCGTGGTAGGCCTAATTATAGTAATGCTGGGGCGGTCGGTCCCTGCTCAAGACCTCCCGAGCTGATGCTCGTTGCAGTTGGGAGGAGCTGGCTGCGCGTGCAGTCAAAGATCGTGATCGTGCACACGTGTGTTTTTGTCCATTCAAGTGCCCTCTTCTTCTTGGGTCATTCTTGGGTGGCTCCTGGGAGCTTCGTGGGGGCCTCTTGGAGGCCTAGAGGCCTCCAAGACGCCCATGATGGCCTCCGAGACGGCCCTGAAGCGCCCCAATAGGACCCCAAGTCGGTTCAGAGAAACCCCCAAGACGGCTTCCGACGGCGTCAGACTGGCCAAGAGCGCTTTCTTGGGCCGTCTTGGAGGCTTCCTGGGGGAACTTTGAGGCATCTTGGACTCTTTTGGGCCGTCTGTGATGCCATTTTGGACCATCTTGGGCGAACTTGGAGGCCATTTGGCCGTCTTGGAGGCCATCTCGGAGCCATATGGAGCAGGAGAAACCTCTGCAACCACGTCTTCTGGGTGACTGGCACGGTGTGCCGAAGCCCCAGGGGAAGCTTTTTAAAGAACCACAAACCTCCCAGAACATCCAGCACGCCGGGCACCCTGGTGGCAAGCCAACACGGGACGGCGGATCGAAGACGCCTACGGCGAATCACCGCCGCCCCCATGCCTTCTGAAATCGCCCATGTGGCCGAGCGTTGTGGCAATAGCTCTGCCAACCTATCGGACCATGTGTTCCTCCAATCGTTGTGCAAACCCTTCGGGGAACACTTGGGGGAGGATAGCGGGGAAGATCAGGAGGAGGAGGAGGAGGAGGAGGAGGAGGAGGAGGAGGAGGAGGAGGAGAGGAGATGAGGAGGAGGAGAGGAGGAGAGGAGGAGGAGGAGGAGAGGAGGGAGGAGGAGGAGGAGGAGGAGGAGGAGGAGGAGAGGGCATCTCGGGAGCCTCTGGGGGGCACTCTTTGGGCCTCCTGGGAGCTTCCTGAGAGCCTCTTGGAGGCATCTCGGGGGCCTCCTTGGGCCTCTTGGGGGCCTTTGGGGCTTCTCGAGGGCCTCGTTGGCCGTCTCAGGGCATTCCTGGCCCGTCTGACGCCGTCGGAAGCCGCCTTGGGCGCTTCTCTGGGCCGACTTGAAGCCTTCTTGGGGTGCTCCAGGGCCGTCTTGGAGGCCGTCTTGGGCGTCTTGAAGGCCTCTTGGGCTGCCTTGGGGCCCTCCTAGGGCCGTCTTTGGGCCTCTTGTGCCGTCCTGGGGCCATCCTGGGGGCGTCTTGGGCGATCTTGGGGCGATGCTTTGGGACTCTTGGGCCGTCTCGGGCCATCGAAAGGCCGACGAGAAGCAAACGCCCAATTCCCTCAAACACCTGAGGATCATCCATGCTTTTGACCTCTTCGGGCCTTCCTGGAGGACCTCTTCGAAGCCTCGTGGGCCGTCTTGGAGGCCTCTTGGGAGCCTCTTGAGTCATTTTGAGGCTACATGAGGCCGACTTGGGTGCATCTTGGGCTGTCTTGGAGGCATCTTGGGGCCATCTTAGCCGTCTTGGATGCCATCTTGGCCACCTTGGAGGCATCTTGGAGACAATCTTGGGCCATCATCTTGGCGGTGTTGAAAGCCATCTTGAGCCGTCTTGGGAGATAACTTTTTCCGGGAATTCTGGTCCTTGTGCAGCCTTCTGCGGGGCCGGCGGGATGGGCCGAAGCCCGAGGGGGAGCTCTTTTTTGAAAAGAACCAAAAGCGAATCGTAAGAATCCAGCACGCCAGGCTCCTCTATGATACATCAACAGGGGGCGGCGGATCTAGTGGCTTCCGGCCCATCCCGCAATCGCGCCTAGGTGGTAGGTCAGAGGCCTCCTGGATGCCTGTGCGGATCCCTTGGGAGGCCTTTTGGAAGTCTCTTGGAGGCGGTTTGGGGGTCGTCTCGGAGGCCCCTTGGGGCCTGATTTGGGGGCCTCTGGGGGGGCCTCTTGGGGCCTCCTGGTCGCACCTCGGGTGCTTGTGGGGGGGTCTTGGGGCCATCCCAGGGTTGCTTCAGTGTCTTCTGCTTCTGTCGGGCGTTGGCCGGCGCCGGGGGCCGTCCGGCAGCTAGATTCGGGATGCTGAGGAGAGCTGGCCCCAGCGAGAAGTGGTCGAGACCCCGGGGGGCCCCATGTCGCGAGCAGCACGCGGCGCCAGGGTCGGGAATCGAGGAGGAGATAACTATTCAAGCAGTGGCGAAGCGTCCCGGCTCGCCTATAGCCCTGCCAAACAATGTTCTCAGAACCTTTTGTGGTTCTCACGAAATGTTCTTAGAACCTTTTCTGGCGGAGACTGTCTTAGTTTAACACATTTATAAGAGCCTTGATTATGTTATTGGATTCTAGGAACATTTCGTGGTAAGCCTATAGGAATGCCCGGACGGTCGGTCCCTGCTCGAGATATCGCCAGGATCGAGACCGACGGCTGATCGAGGAGGGGGGTGGAGAGGGGTGGTGCGAGCGGGCGGCCTCATAGCAGGAAGCGGGGGGGGTTCTGTCGGGTCGGGGGAGGCGGAGGAGGAGGAGGAGGAGGAGGAGGAGGAGGAGGAAGAGGAGGAGAAGGAGGAGGAGGAGGAGGAGGAGGAGAAGGAAGGGGCTGCGGGGGAGGCGGAGGAGGAGGAGGAGGAGGAGGAGGAGGAGAAGGAAGGGGCTGGGAAGGCAGGGCTGCGAAGCCTGCTGCAGTGCAGCCGCTTTCGGCGCCGCCGACGGGCGCGTTTTCCTCCATACGTTTGCGCCGCAGATGCGGGGAAGCGCTGGAGAAACCCACCTAGGACCTTTGCTACGATAGGTTCGCGTCGTGTCGACCGGCGGCGACCCCGCCGCCAGCTTTCAGCGTTGAACGCCGCAGGCGACCCAGAATCGGTCGATGTTGAACGACCTGACGTTTCGGAATCGGTCGATTGTTCAACGTTGAGCGATCCCCGAGGTGTCAGAAGTCAACGCCAGGGTCGCCACGAGGCGAACCTGCCGTACCCCCCTTCCGTCCGAGCCGATACTCTAAAGGAGCAGGGGAGGGGTCTCCCAGAAGCCAAACGGGAGGCCGTCTCAGAGGCCTCCTGGCCTTTCTGAGAAGGCCCCTGCCTTCAAAGAGGCCACACCCGCCCGCCTTCTTGGAACCCAGACCCCCGACGCCGTAATAATATCGCTCCGTGGACCCAGACAGGTCTCGACCCATTCCCCGGGGCCAGTTGTTTCGTCCCTTTCGAGCTGTCCTGGCACCGCTGGGGGGCCTCTTATGCCGTCTGTGGCCACCAGGCAGCAGACGAGCAATCTAACACGCCCACCTCGTGCAGGCACGGTGGCGGATGTGTGTGTATATATATATATATATATATGCATATATACACACATGTGTATATATGCATATGTCCACTGAAATAGGTACATGTGTGCATGCACATACATACATACAAAGAGCACAGGACAAAACGTGGTGATGGGCCCAATTATATGCAGGCCTGAACCTAGCGAGGCACGACAGAGGACTAAGGATTGGGAGCTCCCTGTGGGACCACGAAACGTGTGATGAGGGGTGTGCCGAAATGCTGCGCGGCGCCGCCATGCCAACATTGCAACTGCGGCCTCCGGTGGGGCTCCCCACGTGGCCAGAAGCGTGTGAGATGTGTTCCGACATGGGTGCGGCGCCGCCATGTGATCTCGGTGGGACTGGGGCCACGACACGTGTTCCCACCTGGGCCTTCGGTGGGACTCCAAATGGGGCCATGAAGCGGGCGAGGGTTGCGCTGAAATGGGCGGAAGCAGAGGCAGGGATGGAGGGAGGGTGGCGGGAGGAGGAAGAGGAGGAGGAGGAGGAGGAGGAGGAGGAGGAGGAGGAGGAGAGGAGACGGTGGGCGCTGCCTCTCCAAGACGAGGATCCAATATTTCAGGATGGCTCAGAAGCTAGTTCGTCGCGGAGACGACAGGTCCGTTTCTTCAGCGTTTCCCGAAAAGAACCCCTTAGAAATGGAAGCGGGAAAGATACGGTGGCCAGAAACGGTAAAAAGATTGCTCCAGGGTTGGAACCGGAACCAGACTCGGGAACAGAGCGGCGACGGAGCTGGGGGAAAAACAACGGCGCCGGACAGACTTGGCAAAAAGCAGCGCCAGAACGAAGCGCAAAGCGGAAACGGCAACCTAGACATGCGACGTCTTGATTTTTCCAGGACGGCGTCCCCGGAAGTCCCTTCCCTCTCCCCGGGACCGGTTTTGCCAGCCTGAGTCGTTTGTTGACGCTCTCGAGGCCCGGCGGGGGCCCCCCGAGGCCGAAAAGTTGCAAAAAGGTCCCCTCATGGTTTCTTACGACGTGAGCATGTCTTTGAAGGAAGCGGCCAACGGTTCAAGGACGAAAGACGAAGCGCCCGAGGAGACCGGCACCTTCGGCGGCCACGCGCTCCGGGCGGCGGCGGTCCTTGCCCTCCTGTGCGCGGCCTCGAGGAGCGCCGGCCTGCGCCGGGACGAGAGCTCCGTGACCATGTACCACGCGCCGCCGCAGACAGCGCACAAGAGGTTCAAGGTCCCGCTTCCCACTTGGATCGCCGCTGTGGTTGCTAAGGGGATGGGGGGGTTAGAAGTAGATGCTAAAGTGGGTTTTATCTTGCCCAACCCAACTTATAAGTGGGTTACAAGTGCCCTATGTGGCTTCGGAAGGTGAGGTAACTCCGCTAAGTGGGCTCCGGCCACTTAGCCGAGATCTGTGCGCCCTTACCCACTCACTCAGGGCACGTCCAGCCCACCTCTAAGCTGGGTTAGGCTGGATAGGGCCACCTTAGCATCCACTTGTATCCCCCTATCCACTTAGCAACCCCCGCGGCGATCCAAGCAGACCCCCTCCCAGACATGCTCGCGTCGTACAAGAATCAGGACGGGAGGTTTTTGCAACTTTTCGGCCTCGGGGGACCCCCGCCGGGCCTCGGGAGCGTCAACAAACGACTCAGGATGGAAAACCGGTCCTGGGGAGAGGGTCGGGACTTCCAGGGACGCCGTCCTGAGAAAATCAGGACGTCGCATGTTTGGGCTCAGGTCATGAAGAAATCGTGGCTGGAGGTTTCTTGCCATTCTGGGCCGCCCGGGGCTCTCGCCAGGCCCTGGGACCGCCAGGACACTCCTTCAGGATGAAGTACCGGTCACGGGAAATGGGAAGAGACCTCTGGGGGTCGACGTCATGGAAAAGTCATGACGTCAGGGGTTGTGATGTTCCGACCTACTTTAGCCTTGCTCACCAGAAAAAATGTCGAACACCAGGAAAAAACCCAAACTCGAGGGTTTTCACGTGTCGTGCCGTGGGAGACACTCGCCCGACTTTGCTTCCACACTCTTTCGATCTACTCTCTCGACCCTCCTTTCGGGCGCTCGACGCTATCTCTGGGATGCGGTCTTTGAGCACGATGGGAGCAACAGAAGTCGGGGGTCTGGGTTTGAGGGTCCCGGAGAAGAGCAACGACATATAAGCCTACACGCCGGTCGTTGAAAGTAGGTATTTTTGGATTCCCAGATCCCAATCTACTTCAAGCGCCTTCCTACTTCAATAATCGGCGCGCTTTTGCTGTGTTTTGCTATTCTCTGGGAGGACCTGGACCCAATCTACTTGATCCGCCTTCCTACTTCATGTTTCTACCTACTTCTTCCGACCGACGTGTAGATTTGCGAACGTCTGCTCGCATTCCTTGGATCTGCGCTCGGCCCACCCTGGGGGCGCCCCACTCGCCGCCCTTCGGGCGGCTCCGCGTGCCCGGGCGGGGCGCGGTGGAGAGGCCTCCTGCCCTGAAGTCCGGCCTGTCCCTCCACAGGGGGCACTCGGCAACGCGCAGAGGGGGGTAGGGGGAGGTGGGAAGGCTTCTTAGAAGCACCCCTGCTTCTTAGAAGGCGCGGGCCTTCTCTATAGACGCAAGGCCGAGGCCTTCTAAGAAGCAGGGTGCTTCTAAGAAGCCTTCCCCCCTCCCCCTACCCCCTTTTGCGCGCCGCCAAGACACCTAATCCTGCCCTGACGTCGATCAGTGGATGGGCCGTGTTCGGTTCGCGAGGGGGCGTCGCGGCCGCCGTTTGTTTTTGCGGGTCCAGGTCCGGGTCTCGGTCCCAGGCCGCTTTCGCGAAAGGGTGGTCTACTAAAGGGAGGTGTGTCCACCGCCGAAAGCTTCTGTCCACGGCATTGGAGGTTCATCTGGGATCGTCCAGTCCCTGGCTTCGGCAGGATTGTTTTTGTTCCTTCGTCAGTTAATGTCCGCTACGTGCCCGGGCTTGCTCCTTCGTCCTGGCCTCCAGCTGCCGAAACCATCAATCAGTCAAAGGTAGAAAAGGGGCAAGAGGCGTCCCCGGGGAAGGGGTCGAGATCCTTGGTGCCCACGGATGAAGATCAGAAGGGAAAGAAACACAAAGACACAATTAATCGTCGAGTCCCCCAAAAATATGGGAAAATATGGGAAGTGGGGGGGAAGACAAAAACCCAGACAATATGGAAAATATGGGGATTTGTTTTATTTGTGTGTATTTATTTGTGTGTCCTGGGGCCCCTTCATGAAGAGATGTCTGGGGTCGTCGTCGTTTCGAGGGCTCTTGTTGGGAGTTTCTTCGCATTCGCGTCGCCACGGCTGGGGGCAGCTCGAGACACCCGCCAAGATGGGCCCCAGAAGGGGTCAGGGGATCAATGGCGAGCGCATTTGGGCGACGTGAAAAAAACACATTGAGACATATGTTCGGTGTGTGTGTGTGTGTGCGTGTGTGTGTGTTTCCTTCTCAGGGAGCCCTATTACCGCTCCCGGGGGCCATCACAAGACGGCTCGGGGTGTGTGGAAAGCCAGTGTTGGGCCATGGTGTTCCAACCTACTTTGGCTTTGATCACCAGAGAGACCGTCGAGCACCAGGAAAGTACCCAAACGGAACGGGTTTTCACGTGTCGGGCCCTGGGGAGGGACATTCGTTCGACATGTCGTTAGCGTGCAGAACTGTGTCGATATTTTTCAGGGTGCTCGAGATTATGTCGGGGATGTGGCTCTCAAGTACGATGGGAGCAGCATAAGTCTCGGGAAAGTGGTCAAGACTTCTGAGGGCCCGCGCTTGTGAAAAAGAAGACGCCCTCTGGGATTCAGGTCCTGCGGCGGCTGCAGCCGTACGGCGCCATCCCCGGGTGGACCTCCAAGACGATGGGCGTCAGGCCGACGGTTTGAGCTTACGCTCGAGAGATTCAACCGTGGGGAGGGCGGCCGTTGAATATTTATCTACATGTAAGAAATAAAGAGATGATCAGGCGGGGATGCCCTCGCTGCGGCCGCCAATCCGCTCCCCCAGCCCCTGCAGCAGGGTTCGCGCCACGCCGCCTCGGCTGCGACGCCAGCGCCGGCGCTTAAGGTCCAGGGCCACCAGTGGCACTGAGCCGGGCCAGTGTTGAACGATGTCGTTAGATGCTCGTTGTCGGGGCCCTCCCTGGGGCCCACGTAGCGGATCTGTTCGACGCCAGTTCGACTTGAGCTCGGTTCCAGTTCGACCAAAGGTCGACCCAAATTCGGCTCAGGTTCGACTCAGCGTCGACTCGGGATCGGCTCAAGGTCGGCTCGAATCGACGGACGCTCGGCGCAGCTTCGGCGCACGAGTGGGGCGAGTGTCTGCAGGAAGGTCCCCAGAATGAGCATCTAACTCAGGTAGCGGAGATCGTGTAAGATTTAGGTCGGGCGTGTCCTCCTAAAGGCGGAATTTGGACGGAAATGAAAACATATTCAACAAATGCTCAAACGTAGCCAAACATGTAAGGAGAAATAGTCCCCATACTATTGTTTAACTATTTTTGAATATTCCTCCTATAGTGGGACAGGCCCGACTCAATGCAAGATTCAGCTTACGCGGTGGCAGAAACCGACGCCCACGTCGTCACCGACAGGAACCAGGCCCAGGCATGCGACGTCCTGATTTTCTTAGGACGGCGCCCCTGGAAGCCCCGACCCTCTCCCCTAGAGCTGAGTGGTGTTTTGACGCTCCCGAGGCCCAGCGAGGGCCCCCCGAGGCCGAAAACTGGCAAAAATTGACCGTCCCCATCCCCATCCCCATCCCCTTCGAGACCCCCACCAAAATACCCCCCAGTTGAGGATACACCCCTCCAAACCCGACGGGAACGGCCTATATCCCCATCTACGGGGTTAATCGGCCAGTGGGGCCCAGGCCACGCCGCTGGGGATGGGGATCGGTTAAACGATACTCATCCCCGAGCTGTGGAGCGGAGATGCCCGCGGCGGGGGGTGCCGCAATGCTGGTGGGCCCACACCACCAGGAAGGCCACTCCACCCCCAGACATGCTCGCGTCGTAAAACATAGTAACAGCAAAATGATTCACTGCGTGGAGCTCCCCATATGTGCATCTATTCGCGTGGACCTGTCCGCTGTGAATGTCTAGGCGTAAAAGCTTTCGAATATAAACGGGCTTCAGTTGTGACGGTCTGGCCATGAATCTAATTGAGAATGAATTGGAATGTGAATGAGCCTCAGCAGTACGAGCGCGTCTCTGCGCATGAGCCTGGGTCCTCCTGGGGCCTCCTGGGGCCTCCTGAAACCCACTGGGGCTTCCTGGGGCCTCCAGGAGCCTCTTGGGGCCTCCTGGGGCCTCCTGGGACCTCCTAGGGAGGATTCGTGCCCCAGGAGTGGCCCAAGCTATAGCAACAAACGTACATAAAACATTGCGGATTGGAGCCACAGGAGAAGGGGGCAATCTATAGGAACGCACGTAAAACACCAAGGATTCGTGCCCCAGCAGAGGCCCTATAGAAACATAAGTACACAGGAGAAGGACAATCTATAGAAACATACGTACAACATCAAGGATTCGTGCTCCAGGTGAGGCCCAATCTATAGGAGCAGACGCAAAACACATGGGATTGGAGCCACTCCTGTTGCCTTCTGAGGCCTCCTGCTCCTGGGGCCTCTCGGGGCCTCCTGTTGCCTTCCGAGACCTCTTGGCGCGTCCTCTGGCCTCATGGGGCCCCATGTGGCTTCCTGAGGATTCTTGGAGCTTCCTGGGGCATCCTAGAGCCTCTTGGGACATCCTGCTGCCTCTTGAGTTTTTCTGTGGCCTCCTGATGCCTCCTAGGACCTCATGTGGTCTCCTGGGGGCTCCTGGAGCCTGTTGGGGCCTCCTGTGACATCCTGAGGAGAATCTGTACCCACGAGTCTGGCCACCGATCGAGACATCCTCAACATCTGGCCCACCTGGGGAGCGAAAATGAGCGCCTCGCTCGAGACATCCTCCAAATCTGCTCCGACAGCGAAGGATGTTGTGACAGACAACAAGCAAACCGCTTGAGACATCCCCACTAAACGGCCGCGAACGTGACCGTGAGATAACTTCTGGCGGCTCCCCTTAGGGGGGGTGAAAACGAGCGCCTCGCTCGAGGCATCCTCCAAATCTGCTCCGACAGCGAAGGATGTTGGGACAGAAAACAGGCAAGCCGCTTGAGACATCCCCACAAAACGGCCGCGAACGGGACCGTGAGATAACCTTTGGCGGCTCCCATTATGGGGGGTGAAAATGAGCGCCTCGCCCGAGACATCCGCCAAATTTGTTCCGAAAGCGAAGGATGTTGGGACAGAACACAGGCAAACCGCTTGAGACATCCCCGCAAAACGTCCGCGAACGGGACCATGAGATAACCCCTGGCGGCCGCCCCTCAGGGGGGTGAAAATGAGCGCCTCGCTCAAGACATCCTTCAAATCTGCTCCGAAGGCGAAGGATGTCGGGGCAGAAAACAAGCAAACCGCTTGAGACGTCCCCACAAAACGGCCGCGAACGGGACCGGGAGATAACTCTTGGCGGCTCCCCTTAGGGGTGTGAAAATGAGCGCCTCGCTCGAGACATCCTCCAAATCTGTTCCGAAAGCGAAGGATGCTGTGACAGAAAACAGGCAAACCGCTTGAGACGTCCCCACAAAACGGCCGCGAACGGGACCGTGAGATAACCCCTGGCGGCCGCCCCTCAGGAGGAGCTGAAACCAGCGCACCGCCTGAGACATCCTCACAATCTGCTCTGGTAGCCAAGCATGTTGGGACAGAAAACAGGCAAGCCGCTTGAGACATCCCCACAAAACGGCCGCGAACGGGACCGTGAGATAACCTTTGGCGGCTCCCATTAGGGGGGTGAAAATGAGCGCCTCGCCCGAGGCATCCTCCAAATCTGCTCCGACAGCGAAGGATGTTGGGACAGAAAACAGGCAAACCGCTTGAGACGTCCCCACAAAACGGCCGCGAACGGGACCGTGAGATAACCCCTGGCGGCCGCCCCTCAGGGGGAGCTGAAACCAGCGCACCGCCTGAGACATCCTCACAATCTGCTCTGGTAGCCAAGCATGTTGGGACAGAAAACAAGCAGACCGCTTGAGGCATCCCCACAAAACGGCCGCGAACGGGGCGCGCGTGAGTCTCACCATGATTAAGTCTGAGTAGGAGTAGGTCTGAGTAAGAGTAATTTTGTATGTGAGTAAGTCTGGGTATGAGTAAGTCTAAGTGTGAGTCAGTATGTGTATGAGTATGCCTGGGTATGAGGAGGAGAGGGGAGGAGAAGGAGAAGAAGAAGGAGGAGTAGGAGGCGTCCAAGTAATAACAATAACCCCGTCTTAGGAGATGGGGAACGAGCAAACCGTTTGAGGCATCCCCACAAAACGGCCGCGAACGGGGCGTGCGTGAGTCTCACCATGAGTAAGTCTGAGTAGGAGTAGGTATCAGTATGAGTAGGTCTGAGTAAGAGTAATTTTGTGTGTGAGTAAGTCTGGGTATGAGTAAGTCTGAGTGTGAGTCAGTCTGTGTATGAGTAAGTCTGGGTATGAGGAGGAGAGGGGAGGAGAAGGAGAAGAAGAAGAAGGAGGAGGAGTAGGAGGCGTCCAAGTAATAACAAAAAACCCATCTTAGAATACAGGGAAAAATCAGGACGGGAGATTTTTTCAGTTTTCGGCCTCGGGGGGCCCTCGCCGGGCCTCGGGAGCGTCAAAAAACTACTCAGCTCTAGGATGACAAACCGGTCCCCGGGAGAGGGTCGGGACTTCCAGGGGCGCTGCCCTGATAAAATCAGGACGTCGCATGTCTGGGCCTGGATCCTCGCGGTGGTGGTGGTAGTGATTGTTTTCTTTGCACCCGCCCGCCCAGAGTCCGTGCGGATGCGATTCGACATCGATTTTGGTTTGCTCGGTCCGATTGGATTCCGGTATTCCGATGATGCGATGTTGCCAGGTGTTTGTTCAGCGTTGTCGTGTTCCTTGCGCAGCCGATCCGATTCAGTTCTGGCTCCGTGCCGATGCGGCCCGATTCGATGTACGCTCCGACCCGATTCGGGTTCTTTACCCCACCAGCCCATCCAGAAACGATGTCCAGGGCCGGAAGGATCTAGGACGAGGATGAAGCCGTTCCAGAGCGTTTTGGAACGTTCCCGGAGCGTTCCGGAACGCTCTGAGAAGGCCGCGGCGCCCGAGACGTGCTCCAGAGTCGCCGAATCTCAGAGATTCTCGATTTATCCTCACCCGATGTTGCCCTGGCTTCGTCGAGTTCTCTGGGGGGGGAGGGGCGCAGGTGAGCACCTCGCAGGCGCAGGGCGGCGAGTGATAGCGAGGCTGCCGCCCCCCCCCGGGCCTTGCTCTAGAGGTAAGTATGGCGACGTGCGGCCACAAGCGCTGGTTCGCAGAGCTCGGCCGAGCTGTGGGGCGGTGTGCTTCCCCGGCCGTTGTGGGCCCCCTTTTGGATCGTCGCGGGGGGTGCTGAGAGGGCGAGGGGGATGCAGGTGGATGCTAAGGTGGGTTCTAGCTAGCCTAAGCCAGCTTATAGAAGAGGGCTGCACGTGCCCCAAGTGGCCTAAGTGCGTACAGATCTGGGCTGAGTGGGCGGAGCCCACTTAGCTGAGTCACCTCATCATCCTAAGCCACATAGGGCACCTGTCACCCACTTATAATGTGGGATCGGCAAGATAAAACCCACTTTTGCATCCACTTCTACCCCCTTCATCACCTTAGCAACTACCGCGGCGATCCAAGTTGGGGGGGGAACGTGTGTCATGGCGCCAACATCGCAGAGTGGATTTCGCTCGAAAGCGGCAGGATCGACCCGGAGTGTCCGGATTCCGAGGTTAATTTCGTCCGAATGTGTTTTTGGCCAGGGATGAAGACTAATAAACAAAAATCCACGCGAAAT